TAGGTGAATTTATCCCCTCCGCCCATCTAGGGATGGATCACTCTTTTGGGACTTTTTCATTACTTTTTAATATTGAATGCTCACGTTGAATCCAATTGAATGTTCAGTTAACCCTTCTTAAAAATAGATAGTTATTCTAATATCCCTATCAACATTCAAAATTTCCGCACCGCAGAGCCACACTCATTGTTTTCACTGAAGGTACAGTTGACCTAAGTAACCAACAAGCCCGCTAATTCGCCTTTTTGCAATATAAGGCTAATATGCGGCTAATATAAACCTTAGCATGCCCTTGTTGGTTACTTGGGGAGAGCGCTCTCTCTAGTGCACCTTCAATCAAAACACAGACTGTAGCTCTGCGGTGCGGAAATTTTAAGTTAGTTGAGTTGGTAAGTTGTGGTAGTTGAATTAACTCACATGAACCGTGTATTGTGGCCTTTTGTTTAACTCGTTTTTTTCAAAGCCCATTTGTTATTCATATTTTTTAAATTAGTATTATACACTGAAGCAAAGTAACGTTAGAATTGAATAAAAACCAGTTATGACATTTCGACAAGAGAATTTTTTATGGAAATCATAAGTTTGACGTATGAAACTGAATTCATACGTTAGCTTATGAAACTTAAAACACAATAATACACAAAAATGTACTGCCTATAATCGCATATCAGTCCCATGTGGATTTTCGTTAATTTTAAGATAACAACACTCTCCACTATCAATTGGCATCTACTTTCATATTATGTAATAAAACTACGGACTTTGATCATGAAAAATGTGAAAACAACATCAAGTCAGTTTGTCCCATCAATCAAAGTATCAGTCCCATCCTGAAATTCAATCGTCCAGAGGTCAAGTTACAGTTCCACTTTATAAATAGTCACATTTTTCACTGATATAATAAATCGTTCATGCTGTATTGCAACTGATTTTAACTTGACAAAATGATCGAATAATTCACTTCTTAGCTTCAACTGCCATTTCCTAAATGCCAACTTTTTCCATATGGGACTGATATGGGATTATGGGCAGTGTAGCAGACCCTTCAGGTAGGACGGGAGGCAATGTATAGACCGGCAATCGGGCCAAACAGCCTGCACAAAGCCACCTAGAGATCACCTGACCAACACACAGAAAATCAAATCGATCACGTTCTAATCGACGGGAAATTCTTCTCCGACATTATCAATGTCAAACGGCGCCGGTGGTATAGTGGTAAGCGTGATTACCTCTCACCCCAGCAGGCCTGGGTTCAATCCCAGTCGGCGCCGCCGGGATGTTCTGAGGCATAATATCTCTGATCACGCCTTCCTTCGGATGGGAAGTAAAGCCGTTGGTCCCCGGTTCATGAGTTGATGGGTCGATAGGTAGGGTCCAGGTGTGGGAGCTGCCTTCCTGGCACGTCGGTAGCATTGGTGCTCAGCACGGAAAACAAGATCGACGGAAAAAAACAAACCAAAGGAAAAAAAAAAAATTATCAATGTCCGCACGTACCGCAGTGTGAACATAGATTCGGACCACTACCTAGTTGCAGTACACTGAACCAAAGAGAAACGTAAATTTCACCTGAAAATTCAGGTAACTTCCTAAAGATAATAATACAGTTCGAATTACTTGCTACACTTAATATTCAATGGCATGGTAATGAATTCAACTGGATTGACTGGTCGAGTTGAAGTGTCATACTGGTGAAAGTTATGTGAAATTCACGTAGGTTTTACGAATGAGATTTCTTTTTAGTGCTCTTTGCTTATTCATAAGTTCAATATGGCGACAATAGCAAATATGTGGACAATACCTAGATCGTCTACTTGAAGTTTTCTAAGCGTGAGTTTAATATTAATAATTTAATCCTTATTTATTAAATCCTAAATTAAATTGCAGAATGCGGAATCGGATTGATTGAGCTCCTCATAATCTCAATCGATATGATTCAAGATTTATTTCGACAAACGGAAGTCAAATGGAGGTTAAAAAAAGAAACGTTTGTAATCGAAATTTGAAGATGTCAATACACCAATACTTAATTTCCTGTTCCTACTATTTCATACAGAAAATGATTAATGAAAATGAAAATCTATGAGATAGAGTTGAATTGTGATCTAATAAAAAATAAATTAAATTTAGGGACTTTATCTGAAATTGAACAACATCGCAAATCAGTGAATTGTGTTTTTTTTTGCTGTTTGAACTAGAATGCATTGTTTATGATAAATTCAATAAAATAATAAACCGAAATTAAAATTAAATCTACCACCTTTGCACTTGAATATTACTATAAAATCCAGTTACATTTACTTTAAAATTCACGTAGCTATTAAGTGAAACCTATGTGTAGATCATCGGAACGTTCGATAAAAATTTACGTGAAAATCACTTGATTTCTATATGAATCACATGGAACAGATTTTCATTCGTAAAACACGTAATTTTTACCTGAAGAGTACGATGGAAAATATCTATGTACTTTTTCAGGTGAATATTAAGTGAACTTTTATTGCAGTGTATGCAGGCGCTCAAAACTCTCGACGGTGCATAACACCCGTCGAAGTCGAACGCCGCGACCCAACATTGAGCAACTACGGGACGCCGGAGTTGCCAAGAACTACGCGCAGCAGCTGGGAGTTGCACTATCCACGGAAGAGCAGCTTGGCGCAGCTACTCTTGAAGATGGCTGAAGGGACATCCGTTCTGCCATAAGTAGTACTGCGGACCAAAGAAATGACTGGTTTGACGGCGAATGCAAACTGTTAGTAGAGGAGAATGCTGCAACACCGCACGAGATTGAATGTGGAGCGATACAGACAAGCGCAGAACAGACAAATCTCGGTTTTCCGAAGGAAGAAGTATCAGCAGGAAGACCGAGATCGCGAAGCGATGGAAAATCTGTACCGCGTTAACGACACACGGAAGTTCTACGAGAATCTTAATAGTTCGCGCAAAGGCTACGTGCCGTAAGCCGATATGTGCAAGGACTTGGACGGTAACCTTCTTACGAACGAGCTGTGCGATCACACTGCTGAGCGCCGCCTACAAGGTACTCTCCCAAATTCTATGCCTCCGCCTGTCACCTTTTTGCAAGAGAGTTCGTGGGGCAATACCAGGCGGGATTCATGAGTGCCCGCGCTACCACGGACCAAATTTTTGCCATTTGGCAGGTTCTGCAGAAATGCCGCGAATACAACGTGCTCATACATCATTTCTTCGTCGATTTCAAATCCGCATACGACACAAACGATCGAGATCAGCTATGGCAGATTATGCACGAGTACGGATTTCCGGATAAACTGACGTGATTGGTCAAGACGACGATGGATCGAGTGATGTGCGTTGTTCGAGTATCGGGGACACTCTCGAGTCCCTTTGAATATCGAAGGAGGGCTACGGACTTTCGTGTCTGCTATTCAACATAGCGTTAGAAGGTGTCATCAGAAGAGCAGGGATAGACACGAGTGGCACGATCTTCAGGAAGTCCATCCACCGCCGAAAATGATACCAACAGAGAAATTCAAAAACGCATTATGGCAGGAAATCGTGCCTAAAATTCGTCGCCGCACGAAGTTGACTATCTACAAGACGCTGATTAGACCGGTGGTCCTATACGGCCACGAGACCTGGACTATGCTCGTGAAGGACCAACTTGGTGTTTTCGAACGGAAGTTGTTGCGTACCATCTACGGTGGAGTGCAGATGGATGACGAAACGTGGAGGAGGCGAATGAACCACGAATTTCACCAGCTGCTGGGAGAACCATCCATCGTCCACATTGCAAAAATTAGGCGACTGCGGTGGGCTGGGCACGTCGTAAGAAAGCCGCACGACGACCCAATGAAAATGGTTCTAGAAAGCGACCTAACATAAACAAGAAGAAGAGGCGCGCAGTGGGCAAGGTGGATCGACCAAGTAGATGCGTAACTCATGCCTATGGAATTCATAATATTGCCCAGGTTCATAAGTCATGTCTTATAGAATTCTTAAGATTTTTTTGCCTCTGTGTACTTATTTTTTGTTATTGTTTTTAAGGATGCACCCTTTGTACCCTTACCAAAATCCCACCCCCGCTCATCACTATAACTTTTGATGACATCAACATAATTGAAATCATTTTTTACTTATGTTTAATGTGGATATATGTGGGAAAGGTTGAACAGCACTCTCCCTTATTCTGCGAGTCATGTGACTCTCTGTAACCGGAGAGGTGACAATTGTCACCTTATATGAGGTGACTCTCCGTGCAAATCAAATGGAGAGTCACCTAACGGATGAGAGAGAGTCGTGTGACTCGCAGAATGTGGGGGACTGTCTTAGAGCATCTTTTTGATAGTTTCTCGATTAACTTGAGAAAAAACCGTGCTTGGAATATTGTCTCGGGTGGGCCTAAACCGTTCGAAATCCTATATTGATTTTTTTTTTCTAAGTAAACTTAACACTTTTTAAGTGAACTTTCTAAATTCTGGAATTAAGACAAATAAAAAAACATCCATGATTCGGAGACTTTGAACCATTTTCAAGATCTGGGACTCAAAACAAATATTCTGAATGCTGATAATTGGTAAGTTTTTCGAAGAACCAGATTTCGAAAAAGTTTCATAATTCCCTTTGATGCTTACATTTTTTTCAAACCCTGGATTTTAAAATTTGTAAAGATTTCGGACTAAACAAATATTCTAAAATCCCGGATGAAAATTCTCGAGTTTCTGGGACTTGAACATATTTTTTTACACAATTTATATGACCAGTTTTCGTATGTTTAGTTGTAATCCATAGTTTGAGGTAGTTGTTTTTATTGATACGGAAGATGATTTTCTGGAAGGAAGTATGTACCTATTTGATGTCGGGACAAGATGAACTGCAACTTCGAAAACAAAAATCATTTAAAAGGCGAAATACGACCCGCGTGGAATGCAATTTCGTAACAAATCTATGTGGTAGTAATTTCGAGAAAATTATGTTCAGGACATTTGCTTGCGACGATTGAAATATTGTTTGATAATTCGAACCTGTACTTGCTGGACCTGTTGTGCTTGTTGTTGCTGCTGGTGCTGTTGTTGCTGCTGCTGTTGTTGTTGAGCTAGTTGCTGCTGCTGCTGTTGTTGTTCCTGCCCCTGCATCATAACGGCACTCTTTTGCTTTTCCTTGGAGATTCTCTCCGCTCGACGGGTTGCAATCTCCACCGGTGTCAGTGGAGTATCGTAGTTTGTAATGCCGTATTCGGTCAGCACTGCTGCATGTTTCGGATTTTTCAACTGTGGGTTGGCTGTCACTTGCTTGGCATGCGGTGCCTTTTTGCTGAAGGCCAGCTTGATGTTTTCAAACTTGGTTCGCGATAGCTTGATGAACGAACTGTTTCCATCGCCAGTGAAAAGCTGAGCAGTTCGCATTGCTCGCATTCCCTTCGAAGGAGGCTGTTTCAGGGGATTCTTGCTCTTTTTCTGCTTCTTTGGACTTTCGAGCAGCTTTCCTTCCTCACGAGGAATGATAACCGCTTCGTACCGGTAGCGGCACTGTTTCGGAAGACGATACGTTCTGGAGCTTTGATTAACGATATCGGCTACCAGATCCCAGTTGGGAGTGTGTCCGGGAGATACCAACATCAGGTTCAATGGCAAACCTTGTAGGTTTTGGATCACGTTCAACATGGCCATATCCTCATGTATCATCCATTCAGGCATACCTTCCGGTTCGACTAGTTGCTTAACAGGCAGGGCTGGCTTCAGACCCGCCATCGGGAAGGGCTTAATAATGCCCTTGTAGCGCTGGAGTTTGTAATCCTTCCGTAACTTCGCTATTTGCGGTGATGGACGATCGAACAAGGACCGTGGGGCATAGTATGTATCTTCTTTCCTAATCTTGGCCGGTCGGCGGCCATCCGAATAAAAACCGGCCTCCGAGCGGCTTCTTTTGAATTCCTTTTTCACGTACACGGGTGGTAGCTGTGATTCGGGAATAATGTCCGCTTCGTACAGGAAACCGAGCGCATGGTCCACGTAGATGTCATTGTCATCTTGAGGCGGTGTCGGAGGGCACCACATCTAGATTGTTCATAAAAAAAATGTCTTTAGAAATACTACTAACAATATTCGGTCTGGTACGCACAATCAGGTCAAGAGAATTAATTTAAAAACAAATCAATCTACTACTTACCGGCATTTTTTCCATCGTGTTATCCGATATCCAAATCTATAAGTAGAGAGAAAAGAGAAAAAGAGAAAAGGGCTTTGATAATTATTTTGTTAATTTTCGTAAAGCATAATTCATTGCTATCAATCAATTGCCTTTTGGTTAGGACTATCTGATGCCCATTCTTCGTGTAGCAAGAAGAGAAGAACAACATTCACTATTGCAGCACCACTTCCGAATGGGCATCAGAGAACAGAAAAATTAACAAAATAAATTATCGCCTTGCTGTTTTTTTGTGTGGCTCTGCTAATTTGCTACCCTAATAACTGTGCGGCTCCATCCGGCAGCGGCTTCAATTTATTACATCCGAGGCAGTTCGGAATGGCAAGGCTGTTACGAAAATGTTGATCTCGAGTTCCTATCGCTCTTTTACACAACACAAATATTTTGGTGCCAACAAGAAAAGTCGTTGCCATTAGTGGGTGTTTGAGAAATGGTTGCTTCCATCAACCTCTGCCATTGCCAGACCGAGCACTGGTCAGTTCCAGTTTGCAGATTCGGTGCAAATTAGCATTCTACGTACAACAGCATTTTCCATTTTTTCTCTCTTTTTCTCTAATACAGATTTGGATTTTGATTTTTTTTTTTCTCATTGTAAATTAGATTTGGATATCGTTTTTTTTCGATTTCTGCTTTCTAGGTTCTAATTTTGTTTGCTTTTCTTTGAATGACACCAAAACACCGATACATACAGACCTTACCGACCAAATACCAAGGACGATAAATTGAGCCGAGCTTGACAGAATGACAGTTGAAGAAAAGTCCACATAACTTGTTTGTTTTATAGTTTTCAGCAAGGAATTGTTTATTCTATCAATTATTCTTATATGTTGCTGCTTTTTGGCCTAGCATCCTAGCGCTTTCAATTGGATTATTTTTAGTACAATTTGTGAATGATATTCAAGACGGCTAGAATAATCTTTTAGATTTTGATCGATGTTCAACGCTAGAATTGGTATTCATGTACATATTTGCTAGTTAATATTTAATTGTTTAGCTCCTATTGTTTTATTTTCCACAGATTGATTCTTAGTTAGTTTCACTGAATCATACACTTTTTTGAGAGTCCCTTGTAGAAACAAAAATTGAAATGCAGCGTCACCAACCCAGTTAAAAAAAAAAACAATTTGAACAATTTTGCTTCCAGCCCAGAGGAGTTGTAGTCTCCCTCCCAGCAGACGAAAATAACACGTCTGGTAGTCCCAGTTGTACCGTGCTCAAAAGTGATATGAATGCACCATCATCAGTTTTTCGTACGCTCGTCAAGTTGTTGGTTTAAATGACGCCTAGTCATTTGTTCTTTAACTAATGCTGATTCCGTAAGTTCCTCGGAAAAAACAACCAACAACATCAGTACCTATATCAATTTCATTCAAAGATGCATCATATCTCACTAACGCAACCCTGTGCCGAAACACTTGCATTAAATATTATTAGATTTCTTAGGTTTATTCTCATTTAACTTCATCGCAATCACCTCCTAAGCATGTCGAAAGTTCGATGGTCGGCAATACCAAGATGCAGAGTTTGAAATAGTATTTTTCCGTTTATTATTGCTCTTATTGGAACAATGGACGTAACAAAGAGGCTTCCATCCTATTTCGAACCACCATTTGTTTACTGACGATTGCTTATATTCAAATCTACCGTTCCGTTCTAGCCACGCTTTAGATCATGAGTTGCATTCTGTAGCGCTTCATCTGTGAAGATTTGCAGCTTTAGAATTTTCAATTCTTGAGATCGAAGGTGATCCAGCATCGATTGGAATTGTATCTTCATTCCAGCTTCAGTTATAATGATGGTTCCTTGAACTGGATAGCATCTTTTCTTGGTCAGCAAAGATTGCTTGTACGATATGTACAGCGCTACGTTTCGTGTTCTGGCACCTAATCAGAATTTATTTCACTGTGCCTTCGTCAGTCACGCCTAGGCCGAGTAGCAATGTCAACGCTTCATCTGGGTTCTCATGTTTTCAAAGCCGTGAAGCACGATTACGGTTGGTCTGAGTGTGGCTAACTGAATCAAGGCAAATGCTAGCGGCTTCGGACTGCCAGTCTCCATACATTTAGGTACTAAAGGTAATTGCTTCCTGCCTCTAGCAGTAGCTGAAGACAATGGAATGGAACTTGGTTTAGTACAGATTGTGGCAAGGATTGTGTTTGTCTAGATTGAATTTCCTCCATAGTAGGTGTGCCGAATTGTTCGCTCGAACTTACAACAGTCATAGTCATCGTGTAGAAGCTCATCATTTCTCGAGCCTTGCGATTTTGACGTTCAGTAACAGTGGCCTGGTCTGGATCCTCACACACGTCAAACACTAATTCTGCCTTGTAACAGTTTTCAATGCAAGTATTTTGGTACAGGGTCGCGAAACAATCTTATTTCTTCGGCATTGTTTAACATTTTCCTTGTGTTTACATATCCTCATCGAACGGTGTGCTCGGTGTTTTGCCCGTTTAGAAGTTTGTGAGTACATTTTGAGCACTATAATTGCATGAGCTGATTCCAAACCAAAAAAATAACTTGCCTAAAACGCAAAAATCTAAAATTTAAAAAGAACACAAAGATGAACTTACTCAATAATGATAATACGGCGCAGCTAACTGTATACACTGAATTAATGATTTAAACTGAGAGACTGTCTAAGATATAATTGCAAATAAATAACTGATGAGTCCCTGTGCATTTCTATCTAGCGGCTTTATAAACATATTAACACGGCATTATTTCTTCTTCCATCAAAAACTATCACCACTATCACTATGTACATTCTCTTTCCATACGCCACCTTCTCCTCGTTCCCTGAGGAGATTCCGCTCACGTTTCGCCATTTTCATGTGTCACTACACCATCAACCTTAACGGACGCCCGAGTTGTGCGCCCAGCGTGCAGAGGCGTAACCGATTTGTCACTTGCCACTGAGTCCGAATTCTCACTGTTAGCCATGGTAGCAGCTTTTGGCGTTTTAGAAACCCAACTATCTAGGGTTCGATTGTTAGCCGATTTCGTCGTCAGGGACTTTTTAAACTTTCTTGCCTTTGGAGACGGTGTTCTCTGGGGTGCGGCAAACCCGTCCAACACCTTGGCATGTTTCAGCTGTTTTACATCGGTGACCAGAATCTTCAATTCCTTGATCGTTTCCGACACTTCAGGATCTACAACCAAAGCGGTGGCACTGGTGTCGGTTTGCGGGTGTGTGGTAGATAATTCCGTAGCAAGCGTGCTCTCATCTTCCGTTGTGACATTATGGTGGTTATTGACCGCACTAGTCGATTCATCTTCTACAACAGATGATGATTCATCGTTCGTTGGAGTATCGCTTTTACTGTCGCGCTGTTCAGCAGACGCATTCTTTTTACCCTTGGAGCTGTCTCCGGTTTTAGGTCTCTTTATGGCAAGAATTGGGCTATCATCCAACGTCCATAGATTTATCTTCACCGAGCCACGAGACCTCGTTCGAGGAGTACTATTACTACCCTCACCCGCACCGTTGTCCGATTGTTTGGAATCATTTAACGCCTTATGATTGCTGCTGCCATCATCCTGGCTTTGGCTACCGGATTCTTCATCCTGCGATGAATAGTAGTTATTCATCTGATTTGAATCCGAGTCCGGTGCATCATTCGAATCTATCATTACATCTAAGCTGCACTCACTGTCGAACTCTTCCGTGGGTCTCACTTCTTTCACCACATCTTTGCTTTTATCCGTTTCACTTTCACCATCCTCGTCATCTCCTCTAGACTCACTACCCCCGGTACCTCTTTTTGCTGGGCTTTTCCTCAACCGCTTTCTACGCAAATTAACCGGCCTAGCGTTATTATTACGAACACTTTCTCGTTTTGTCCTACTTGTACTACTTGCCGGAGATTCACTTTGTCGCCTTAGTTTCATCTTCTTTGTTTTCCTACCAACTAACGCTGCCATCGTTGCTCTATTTCTAGCCTTATCTGTGTTCTTGTCTTCTTCCCCTGCTATTGATGATATTGATCCCTTACGTTTACCGAGAAGCATTTTGTGTGAATTTTTAACAATCGCGACTCTTCTATGGATAAGCTTCCTTCCATCTTTACTAACGTTATTATTGTTGGCTTTTCCACCACTAGAACTACGGTTAAAGCTAGATTTATTAACCTGATTGCTTGCGTCCTCCCGGGAGAACGTCAGAAGATCGTTCTCCTCCACTTCCAACTGCCGAGCGGCTTCTTCTTCGCGTTTGGACTGGGCCAACCGGTTTGCCTCCCACTCGCGTTTCTGCTGCTCGATTTCCGCCTCAACTGCCTTCAGCTGTAATGCCGTCCACGTACCTTCGGTGTCCTCGACGAAGCGCATCGCGTATCGTTCGATTGGACTCAACTGCAAGAAGGAGAAAAATGTGTTAGTTGTTCAACTTCTTGTTTTCAGCTAACAGCTACAAAATCAAGTGTCCGAGAACTGTGATAGCATTTAGATATACCGTTAAGCAAACTAAAAGCGGTCTGGATCGTCGATAATAATTTTCCCAAAATGAGTATTTAAACTCAATATACATATTGTTAACAGCAATATAAAACAATATGTGTAGGTAATTTGGGGAGAGTAAAATATCACAACAAACAAAAGACCAACCTGTTTGATAAGATTTTGAACTTCCTTCTCAGCCTTGCTCATTTCCGGTTCCTTCTCTTTGGGTTGTTGTTCCTGGTCGATCGGAATGTTTTCATCGAATTCTTCCAAATCGGCCGATGCTTCGGCCTTTGCGAACTTGGCCGCCTGCACATCTTGGTCGTCCTCGGCAGCTGCCAGGGCTGATTCGAATACATTTATCGCGGATTTCGATTCCTCCAGTGTACCACCACTGCCGCCTGGAGGTGTGATAGTGGCGGTGCTCGTTCCAGCTTCCATACTCTGCTGCAGTCTTTCCTTGCGCTCTCGGTCCCGGTCGATGACCTCCGCTAACCGTGTCGAAGCATCCTCCTCCACAACATCCACCGTGAAGAGATCCTGGATAGTTGAACTCTTGAAGTATGCAGTCGTAAAGTTACCACCCTCGATGGCCAAGTCTCCGAGCATCCTCTTCTGATTGGCTTTCTTGAGAATATTTTCCTCGATGGTCTTTTCACTGACCAGCCGATAGATATGGACATCTCTAGTCTGACCGATCCGATGGCAACGATCTTGTGCCTGCGCGTCCATGGTAGGATTCCAATCGGAATCGTAGAATATCACAGTATCCGCCCCGGTGAGATTAATACCAACGCCACCGGACCGCGTGGAGAGAATGAAAGCAAAAACTCGCTTGTCGCCGTTGAATCTTTCCATCAACAGTTGCCGCTGTTCGACTTTGGTCGTGCCATCCAAACGCAGATATATGTGGCCGTGGTAGTTGAGGAATGCTTCCAACACATCCAACATACGCGTCATTTGGGTAAATATCAACACCCGATGACCACCATACTTGAGCTGCTTCATCAGTCGGTCCAAAGTCTGAAGCTTTCCGCAGTCGTACTGGATAAGACGGGGATCCGGGAACTGGAAAACAATATTAGGAACATTAGTATTGAGTCAAATTAGTGTCGTGCGTGTTGCATCACAACAAAAGCCAATTTCTAACAAACGTGAAATTAGCCACTAAAATGATGCCCTGAGAGAGTGTAGCAAGGTTCTAGAGGCCTATCGCGATAGACGCAAAAGTCCGCTGGATGGTCAATGCTTGGGGTTTATTCTGGCTCTATTGCAAAAATCGTAACAAAGAAGAGCTTCGAAACAATCGATTTTAAGAGCCAACTGAAAAGTTAGTACACATTACGATTAATTGACGCGCAGCACTATGGTTCAATAAGCTTGCCCCGCAACATTGCTTCAAGTCGCGCCTTAATTAGTATTGATATTACAGATCCTCGATCAGCTCAAACGCTCACAATATTGCTGCGCGTCAATGTGTCGAGTGTGAGCTACTTTTGAAAGAAGTTTAGACCTCACTCACCTGTGTACTCATTGCCGATATAATCGGATGTAGGATCTTCAGCGCGGGTTTCAACCTTTCCTGGATTGCTTCATCCGTATCTTGTTCCTCATTTGTCCGGGAAGGATAGGGATGTGATACATGGATACTTGGTGCCGGAGCACAAACTGCAGGTACGTAGATGACAAAATTGTTGAACACCGATCGAAATTCTTCCGCTCGCTGTTCGATGGATTTGATGGCCTTTGCCAGACTCCAACTGCCATTGCGCCACACTTTCTGACAGTAATAGGGTCCTACGGAGATAATTGGAACCGCATCCACGTCCGCGAAACCTTCATTTAATGCTTCAGCCACGGATTCACGTAGATCTTCGCCATACATTGGAACGGCATCACATCGCTTCTGGTTCATCCGTCCCAGTAGCTCTAGGATTTGACTTCTTCGTTCTTTGCGCGACTCGTCCACACTGGCCAGGTAAAATTCGGTGCGTATTTTTTGCTCCAACTCTTCCTGTGTCAAGTTGGCGGCGGAAGTAGAATAGGAATGATGCCTAAGTTGTTGAACTATTGAAGTAGCTAGTGTTGATGAGATTGGACTTGCCGTCGAAGGAACATTTTGGTTGCTGCTGGCTGCCACCTTGGTTTGCGTGACGCTTCCAACGACATTTACTGCAGAGGGAGTACTTATACGATTGACCACTGTTAGACGTTGTCCACTGGTGGTCATAAGCGTAGTTGAGGTGCTACTACTCGGCGTTAGAATCAACTGCCTTCCAGCGGAAGTTTGCACAATTTGCGCTACGTGCCCAGCACTGAACCTATTACTAGGAGTACTACTATTGCTAATGCTACTACTGCTACCACTAATCATATCACATCGTTTACGTAGATTTACAGCCGACGATTGTGGATCGTCGAGCGGAATCGCTGTTACCGTTGCCGCCGGTTGCGGATTGATCTCTTCGATCAAAGGTTTCCTATCTACTAGCGAAGAATTTACAAGCGGAACATAACGCGTTCCTTCAGTCTTCATGGCTGGACTGGTTCCAACTCGAACTCCAGTACTATTTCTGCTGATGATTGTTTCCTGAACACGCAAATTTGGCACCCGGACATGCAGCTTCAGTCTACCCGTAGGACATCGTGGTGGTGGTTCCGGTGTTGAATCGATTTCCTCAATCAACCGCTTCGGCATGCATAACCGTTGCGAGCGGTAAGCGACGTATGCGGATAGGAACAGTTCCAACTTCACCAACACCAGATTCAGGGAAGACAGGTCTACTTGCTGTGCAACGAAAAGAACGACATTGAAGGTTTTGCACCCTTTTGATCAACGGACAAAAAAAATAACATACCGTGAATGGATCGTAATTAAACATATTGTATACGAGCGAAGCTGTTCGGAAGTTGATCCCTTCCATTCGAAATGGCGAAATGGTTGGACGTTCCTCGAACATGTTGGGGTGGTTGCAAACCTTCCGGAGTTGCATCAGTACGTTGATCACGCTTAACAAATTGCCTGAGGCAAGCGTTTCCCGCGTTCTGAAACGAAAATAATCGCGTTATTTAAACCAGTAATACGGAACTTAATCTCAATGTACGTACTTTGAACGACTCATGAAATCGTCGTACAAAAACCGTTGCCTTTTGGACAACCGGCACATGACCACATGTTCGTATTTCTTTGGCATTTGTTTCTCGACCTCCGATTTCAACCGACGCAAGAGGAACGGTCGTAGAACCTGAAATTAAATTGAAGCAGAATTCTCATTACAAATCTGTAGTTTCGGGCTTTTCTTCTAATAGACGTAATCTCCAACATTATGATTATTGATCCAACATACCCAAAGAATGAATAAAATCAAAATGAAGAGAACAATAAATTAACGGGTATCGGAACGGTATACAGACTGCGAAAATAAAATATAAACATAAAACGTAATGCAAAACACACCAAAGCCGACTGCTACGTTGTTATCAAGGCACGGAAGACACTCAAATTTCAAAATCAACCAGACAGTCTTGATAAAAATGCAGCTTCGCCCAAAAAAAGAACCCTACTTCACCACGAATGAAATGATCCCTTTAGAAACTTGGACACGACGACGAAAACAAATAAAACGTGGAAAAAATAATCATAATACTACATTACGTACAGGTTACAGACCTTATGAAGGCGTTTGATTATCGTCTCGTTGTACTCCGAGTTGCCTTCAATCATTCCCGTCATCGGATTGGAGAACCATTCCTTAAACTCCCGATGGGATTGGAAAACGTGTGGCATCAGGAAGTGCATCAACGACCACAGTTCCATCAGGTTGTTCTGCAGGGGCGTTCCCGTTAGCAGAAGGCGTCTGTCATGGAGAAACGAGCAAAAATTAGCTAATTTGGTTCACAATGGAGTATTGGAAGATAAATTCGTTCAGATAAAAATAAAAATCAGACAAATGCCTCGATTGTCATCTGATGAACAGCTTCGAAATTCTAAAACAGACTCTCGATGCCGATCAGTGCGTTTAGTAGAATATCATCATAAAGAAAAGAAGGGGTTGGGGGGGGGGGGGTGATCTCCGTTTTCAGTTACACTTATCATACTCACTGTTCTGTTTGAAAATTCAACAGCAGTTGCCACCGTTGTGACTTGAAATTTTTGATGTTTTGTGCCTCGTCCAGGATAAGGTATTTCCACTTTTTCCGTCGAAAACTCTGATGATCCTGGATCACCAACTTGTATGATGTTATGCACACATGGAATGCGTTCACCTTAGTCCAACCCGTCCTCTTGAGTTTACGCTCCTTTTGGGATCCATAATATGTGAGTATTTTGAATCCGGGGCACCACTTCTTGAACTCCATCTCCCAGTTCAGCATCACAGACGACGGAACGATGATCAAGTGAGGTCCCCAGTTACCCCTCATGCATGCCAAATGGGCCAACAGCGAGATGGTTTGGATGGTTTTACCCAGACCCATTTCATCCGCCAGGATTCCATTCAGCTTACGATCGTGCATAGTCACCAACCAATCGAGCCCAATGTGCTGGTACTCCCGCAGAGTGTGCTTCAGCAGGAATGGAATTGGTGTCACAACACTAGTCGACGAGAGGGTATTGCCTTTTGGCTGAATACTTTCGGCGATGGCGGCGGCATCGTTCAGAATTTCATCCTTTTCGCTCTGACTTTTGCCGGCCATTTCATCGTCGAGTAGGTTCTTCAGACCAATGTCCTCGTCCTCGTCGTTTTCCTGCTGCTCGTCCATATCTTCGTCGGATGGAGATAATTCTTCGTCATCAGAGTCCTCCTCCGATGGTTCAGATTCGGCTTCCGATTCACTCTTGCCATCGTCCGAGTCGACTTCCATCTTTTCGTCCACCTTGGGCGGTGGCCGGTTATACTTTGCCATCAGCTCCTCTATACTCATTTCGTTTTCAGCCTGTAAAGAGGGGAGAAACTTGGATTACCTATAATATTTTGCTAGCAGTCAAATAAGACTTACATTCAGTTCATCGATTTCCTGCTTATGATTCTGATTCTTTTCCTGTTTTTCCTGCTCCATAATAGTACCCTCATCATCAGTGCTGTTCTCGGCTGCCGAAAAGTCCTTATCATTACTTTCACTTTCCTTGTCGCTTTCCTCCGGTTCCTGAAAAGTGTGTTATAATATGAAAAGGCGTGTTTTTTTTACATAATATGAAAAGCTGATGTTTTGGACCGCAATGGCTTCAATCAGGCAAATGCCTCGATTGTCATCTGTTAGGAAATCGACTGCATCCAGAATGGAATTGATCAATGTTCAGGTACTTGTAATAGAGTCATCATGGAAGCTGAGCTGGCGACATTTAATCAGATTCTTTAGAAATGGCAAATAGTTACTCACCGATAGAATAATCTTATCCCTGTTCTCCAGGTAATCCTTCGGCAGGTGCTTCAGGAAGTCATCGAGATCCATTTCGGATTCCTTCTGAAGAGCCGCCACCTCTTCGTTGGTTCCGGTTGCCTCCGCTTCCGCCTTGGCAATTGTTTCTTCGTCATCATCGGAATTTTCGCTATCGGGCTGGAACTCATCATCGGAGGCATTCGGCTTCGGCTGAGGTGAGGGTACACGACTTGAACTCAAGCTGTTTGCCTTGCTCGTGTTTCGATCCTGCACCGCTTTGGGTTTGTTCATTCCTTCCACTAGCTGTTGAGAGTATTTTTCTGTTTGATCTACGATGAAGCTGAGCTGCTGATCAAGAGCTTTCTTGCGCTTTTCTTCCAGTTTGGTTTGTTGCTTGTATTCAACCAGCTTTTCCACATTGCCCCAGAAGATCTTGATTTCCTTGGCAACAAAGGCGGCTATACGCTTTAGCTGCTGCTCTTGGGCCTTCTCGGCCCGCTGCGCAGCCATTGCCTTGTCGAGGAAATGCTTCTGGACCATGCGGGCACATTTCTTGGCCGCAGCTTTCTTCCATTTTCGTTCCTGGGCGAAATCTGCGGCCAACCAAACCATTTCCTCAAGCAGATAGTCCCAGTGTGCCTTGGGCCGCTGAGGCTCCTGTAGTTTTGGAAGCCGTCTCTCGCTCCATAGACCCTCCTTCTGCAGTTCCTGTATCCGCTGCATCACGTACACCTCTTGTTTGGCTTTGTTGGTATAATGATCTTGACCGTTGCCACCGGTTGCAGCGTTTGAGGAAGTTCCATTGTGCTGGGCATTGGAGTTTCCACTGTTACCATTTCCGGACGCCACCGAAGAGCCACCGCTTGCCACCTGAACTGCACTGGTTGATGCAGAGGCATACGCAGAGACTCCCAACGTTGATGAAGCCGTCGCTGCAACGGGAGTTGCTGGGACGTGCTTCCGCTTTTCGATGGTCGTGGTCGCTCCGATTCCGATCGGATCCGGAATAATGGGGGTGCCGCCTTAAAAAAATGTAACGAAACAAGGAAAACATACAAACAATCAACAAATCGGCATACACAGACCAGGTACAACATTGAATATGGAAACTATAAATCAGACAAATGCCTCGATAGTCATCCTAAAAATAAGCTTCTTTTGCCTCAAAACGAGGCAAACGAAACAATCAGTAGTAAAGTCATCATTAAAAGAACTAATCCGTACGATAAAGCAAACATAGGGTTCACACGATGCTTCTTGTCGAAGTTGGAATGTTGCATGCTTTTCTGTCAGCCATACAAGTTTTCTATTGCTGTTTCGAACTATCTACAAACCAATGATAGCACTTGTGCTAAATGACCGATGGACATGAACCAAGAAAAATAAAACATTTGAATATGGGAAATGGTATGACTTTTGAGAAACAACAGAAAGTGGAAACTGAAACATTACTATGCCAAATTAAAAGCATCATCATTCGCTCGAGAAACATTCATATATTGAGAAAGCAATGGAAATTAAAACACGCGCTTGTTAAAGTAAACTGAGAATAGCAGCTAGTGAAACTGAAAAAGGAAACAATGAAAGCAAAACATATGTCTTGTTTATTTGATTTTTTTTTTTTTAGTGAGTGGAACGGTGCGAACCTGGCACCAGAGGTACAGAGGGGTTTCCTACCACAGATGGTACGCTAATCTGACCAAAGACCATCCCGTGGCGACCTCCCTGAGGTCTTCCGGGTATGTGACCTACATGTACACAAGGGAGAAAAGAGACAGAAGCCAAGAGAAAAAGTATAAAGATGCGGAAAGAACAAGGAGACAAGTGATTCCGGGGTAATTCAAAACTTATCCTCACTCAAAACCGTAACGAAATAATTCTAAAACCGATTGGATTCAATTTAAAGTAGTCACTCATTGATGTTTTTATTTGTGTAAATGTTTATCTTGTAAACTTCGACCTACAGGTTTCCGAAATGTCCCATGTATCAAGCGCTAAAGTTAAGGCCGATTGCGAATATAAGGCTTGGTAATGATGAGCTTAGTGTATATTTACAGGATAAACATGTGGAAATGATAAAAGGACCAACTCAATCAGACATACACAATGTGGTCGTGTGCAAACTGAAAAATTAGATGTTTAAATAAACGTGAGTTGTGATAGAGGTATGGATTGGTGGCATGTATGAACAGTCAAACAAACCGAAGGGTTTTCACAAGTGAAACAAACAAAACCTGCAAAAGCATCGAGTTAGTAGGCACAGAATCAAATGGTAGGACTTTACCCTGCTGACTCAGCTGAGCCACTGCGGCTGGTAATTGCGTCGACACGGCTACTGGCGTCGCTCCTACACCTGGAATTTTAATTTCTGCTCCTTGGGGTAGGTTCGACGACGAGCTTCCGCCGCTGGTCGACAGCGATGACGGTAGCGATCGGTTCGATTGCTGTAAAATGGAAAGCGCCCGTAAGTGATCTGTAGCACGATGATTTACCTACAACGAACCTGTTTAAGTATTTCTCCTGCTTCTTCCAGATTGGATGATAATGGTTCTAACTTATACGTTCTCATAAAGTTCAAAAATGCTGGCGTATGTGGCTTCTTTCTCCATACAGGATATTCCATCATAGTACCACCGGACTGAAGAAAAAACAGTTCCGCTACATGTTCAGAGTACCTGGTCGGGGGAAAAACAATATGGTTTGGTTCATGTTAGTATTTGAAGCTTTGAACAGTTGGAATATTGTGTTAACTTTATACTACACTGGCTTCAATCAGACAAATGCCTCGATTGTCATCTGATAGGAAATTGGTCGCATCCAGAATGGAATTGACCAATGTTCAGACACTTGTATTATAGTCATCATGGAAGCAGAATATTTCTATGAAATCCAAATGAATACATATGGGAATTTAAAGGGAATTTTGAGAGAATGCTGATAAATTTCCGAAGGATAACGCTTAAAAAGAATTATGGAGAATAATTAAAGCAAACCCCCCACGTGAGAGTTATTGAGTAGTAAAATAATTGTACCATGAAGTCTTAGTTTCCGGGAGAGGATGCCTAAATTGCTATGCAGATAATTTCGCAGGCTGTTATGTATAATAATGTCAGGAGAATGCCAGAGCGAACCATAAGATTATTTAGGGGAATCAATCCCGTAAATAACTCTGAAGACATCTGGGATCCTTCTAAGGGAATTCGTGTGAAAATGCCATAGGTATCTTCTAAGAATAAAGAAATTGTCTAGCTAATTCAGACATAGAAAAAAATCAAGATTCCGGACACAGAATTCTAGATTCCGGACTTAGTACATTGTTCATGCTTACAAAAAACATCTTAGATTCCGATATAAGAAAACTTTTCAAAAGCACAAGTCCAACTTGCACGGCGAGTCGGATCTCATCATAATGGGAATCACGATGGACACAGGTTATCGATAACCGCACTTCCGGATAAATCCCTACCCGGGTGTTCGAAGAAAAGTTGCGGACGTCGCCAGGCATGGAAAATCATTTGCATTCATTTCGTGCATTCATTTACATTCATTTACCTCTAACTTTTTTCATCAACAGCATTTCGCAAAATGATGCACATAATTTTTGTAGGTTTTATTATTAACTACAAGTTTTGTTAACAAGTCAAATCCGTATCTCTGAAAGATGACGAACCAGAGCGAACAGAAGCCACTACTGTTTTTCAGTGAATGTATTTTACATTCACTGAAAAACAGTAACAAGTTCTGTCCGCTCTAGTTCGTGATGCATAAAAAATACAGATTCGCGTTTTGAGCAAAAGTTGTAGCTAATAACAAAGCCTACAAAACCTCTTTATATCATTTTGTGGTATGCTGTTGATGAAAAAAGTTAGTGGCAAATGAATGTAAATGATTGTCCATGCCTGGACGTCGCCAGAATTTACCGAATTCATGAACATTTATTCCGAGAGTAAACAATGTTATGAATTCCTAAAAGGATTTCAGTATGTTAAATTTAGCATAAATTACCGGGTATCAACTACGACATACTTTTGCTAATTCAACACCTCTTCAAACATAAATCCGATTGCGTCGTAGGCATCCCTAGCTTGCGCAGTTTCAGCTGTTGCATATTAAATATTGATTAGCAAACGGGTGCTTATAATCTTCAAATTAATTAATTTTCCCTTACCTTTTAGTTCGGTAATATAGACTTAATTGTAGTTTGTAGAATAATATAGCAGTTTCTCCTAAATTTCTATTAATAGATGTAGCCTATTATTTAAGAACACTAGTCAGTAATTTGATTCGGTATTTATAATTTGTTCTTCTCACCTTATGTTGATCAGTATTAACTGTAGGAAAAAAACTATGTTTAAGCACTATATAGGTTAGCTTAGGTTAAGAAACTAGATTTTTAAGGATATTAAATATAGAATAATTTTCACTTTCACTTTCTTATCTATCGAGCTACTTTTGTCTTCTATCCCGTTTGGCAAGTCATCAACGGATGACAAATCGCGATCACGACAGCGAAGGTGACATAGCGATCATGCGAGATCAGTGACGGGTCCCGCTGCTCACTTCTCATCACTCACAGGAAGTCGAGGGGTTCGCCGAATCGGCGTAGTAACACCGGGAGTTGTGTGATACTGCAAAAAAAAAACAACCGACTGCTATTTACGTGCGTCTTATATTTACAATGCTAGATAGAGCTAAAATTAGGGCGTAACAGTTTTTGTAAACAATGACTTCTCTCGACGATGTCTCGACAGTCATGGCTCTCCCTGGCAAATCGACATCACCATCGAGAAGGGGAAAACTTCTCCTTCCCGATGGATTCGTTGGGAGGCGTGCCTTGAATACCCAGAAATCAACGAGAGAATTCATTGTTTACAAAAGCTGTTTAGCCGTTATTCCAGCTCTATCTAGAATGGACAACAGTGAACTACACGATAAAAAGTTGTCACATCTAACCCAAATGCTCAGTCTGTCATTCGGCACTACGAATCGAAGTGATTTATCATTAATTTTCAAGTGAGGGGCTGTTCATTAACTACGTAGACAGTTTTTTTTTTTATTATTGACCCCCCTCCCCCTGCGTAGACAATTGCCCATACAAAATTTTTAAAATTTGAATGGACCGTGGATAATTGTTAAAATATGTAAAAATTGAAAATTTGCCTTTTTCTGTACGTTTTGGTAATCAAAAAGCTTATCAAATCATAGGAAAAGTGGTCTTCTAGGAAATTGTAAGTGGCTCCAATGGTAATGTATATCTGCAGGTAAATAGTTGATTTTTAGACTACGTAAACGGAAGCTCCACCGCTTAAAATTTTCTTTATTGTTGCAGGATCGTTGCATTATCCCGGAATGCAACGAGGATAAATTTCTACTTTTTCGGGTTTCGAATTCGGGGAGCAATAAATTTGCGCAGATAAAGGAACAGGAAAAGACCGAATTGCTCCCATCATTTTGTTGAAGCAGACTTGGTTGAATATAAGTCCCAAAGTTTGTTGTCGTGGGGTAATTTGAGATTAATTTCATGTGGCCACTCCCCGCGGGATGGAAAATTTGCAGCACAAACCCATTCCTCTCAATTCTTGATTTGCTGGTATAGCCCAGGCACACAATATGCTAGGTATCTAAATCCGCTAGCACGGAGGAGTCCATAATCCAAACATAATCCAGTATATCCAGCAGACTGACTTGGACGTCGATTTCGGGATGGGAATCTACAATCATACAAAACATAACCTAAATAATATCGGTGCATCAAAAAACGCATTTTCATTATCTTTCAAAGACATTGCAATGAAAATTAACATAACATTATATTATTCGACAAACAATAACAATGATAGTATCGCACTATTTTGAACTTTTTTTTTTCAATAATTTATAATTCAAACTCTGGAACAGGGCTTTACATTTTCGAAGCTCTAAAATGAACTCGTGTTTTGTTTCTCTCATACATACGTGTTCGACGCTTCATTTCTATAACGCCTAGCTAGACTATCAGCAAGAAACGAAAATAAAAAAGCAGGACGCTTAGAAGGAAAGGCTGGCTGTGGAACTTCTCGTCGTTGCTTTACTCATCGCTTTCAACGTAACTAACGTCGATTTTCTAGTTAAACGAAACCTCATTATGGCTTTCAATCCCCTTTCACGAACACTCTATCACCGCTCTTTCAATTTGTTTAAAATGCATTATGTCCCGTTTTCGTTATTTTTTTTAGATAAATATGTGGATGGAAGATAAATTAAACATATTACGTGTAATCTTCAAGTGTTTTCACGTGAGAAATGCTTTAAATATGTAATTTCATTTTCCGTCAGATACGTCATGAAACCTCTGTTGATGTGTTTCATGAAAGAGAAAACTATCAAAGTCGAGCGCTCTTTCGCTCATCTGTTTCACCGAAGCTTGAAAGGAAGACCAATGGAACGACGGGAGAAAGAGAGACAAGCGATTGAACATTTGTTTGTGCACCGTGCACGCCGACTGAGGTTCTAGAATGCTGCGAAGTTGTTCGACTTTAATAGAAAAAGAAAGCCAGCAGTCTCTTCGTCGCATCGATTTGGTCGATTGAAGCTGATATTGTGACGCCCTGCTCTGGAATTTAAACCGACTGTCATAAATTTATCACCATCGACTAGTACACTGAACTAACGAGAAACGTAAATTTCACCTGAAAAATCAGGTAATCTTTCAAAAATATAAATCCAATAAGAATTACATGCTACACATAAATATCAATGGCATGGTAATGAATTCCACTAGATTGACTGATGGAGTTCAAGTGCTATACAGATAAATGTTAAGTGAAGTTCACGTAAATTTTAAGGGACCTCATGATGTGAAAACTGTCTGCGTATTTGTTAGTTCAAAATGGCGGCAGATGAAAATATGCGAGTTTTGTTTCTAGGAGATTGGGATTTTTAATGTTTGTGAGCGTAAGTTTGATTAATATCAATATATGAATCCTAATTTTCAATACCCAAAATAAATTGAAGAGTGTAAAATCGGATTGAGCAGTCCTCACAAGCTTAATGGCCGAACTACAGGAGTGCTTACAACAAAAAGACGTCTATTGGAGACATGATGTCCTTTTCGAAGTCATTGGTTGTTGGAGGAAAATAAATGTAAGGATCAAACTTAATGTTTTAAATAAACCAATAACCAACTTTAGCTTTATTCAGGAGCAGCAATTTTTATAGAGCATTATGGAGCAAACAAATGCAAAACAATCAACTTAACAACAACCAGTCAACAGGATTTATAATTAAGAATAAGTTTAATACACATGATAGTTACTAAAAAGAACAGTTTTGTTTTACGTTAATTATAATAAAGTAAAAATTGAACAAATAAGTTAAATTTTATTTAAAAAAAATCCGGATGAAATAATGCAATACCACTGTATTAAAACACATGAAACATACCACAAATTCACATAAATATTACTACAAAATCCAGTGACGATTACTAAACAATTCACGTAACTTTTAAGTGAATCTAATTTGATGATCATCGGAACGACCGATAAAATTTACGTGAAAATCACTTGATTTTCATATGAATCACTTGAAACAGCATTTCATTCCCAAAACACGTAATATTCACCTGAAAAGTATGATGGAAAATATCTACGTACCTTTTCAGGTGAATATTACGTGAATTGTATTTGCAGTGTAC